ATGAGGTAACAAGAGTTAGGGTTTAGGGTTTAGGGTTTAGGGTTTAGGGTCAGGGTTTAGGGTTTAGGGTCTAGGGTCTAGGGTTTAAGGTTTAGGGTTTAGGTTGGGGTTTAGCTCACGAGCAAAGCACACGTGCACCACGCATCATACAATTGTCTGTCAAAGAAACCCTAAACCCGCACCGGTGACTCAGGGAACTCCGGTTACCCTTGCCTCGTTGAGTGCACAACTTGAGTCCTTGAGGAACCTTGCAGGGGACCCTGAGGCTAAAGGAGTGAGGTTGAACCGTCAACACCCTGACAGCTTCCCTGGATCAGATTGTTCTTTCAAGGAACGAGTGAGCACGTATGAAACGAGGATCAGGATGTTTGGTCTTGGTAATAGACCAGATGATAGGATTGCCAAAGCAGTCGCCCTTTTGGACAGCGGGGCGACTCACGCCGTCATACCGTACGACCGCTCTCTGGGTCAGCTCGAGAGTGTTCCGGTCACTCTCGCAGGTGATGCTAAATCGCAGTGGTTGCGTACCAAGGGTGGCACACTCGTTGTACCACCGAATGCTGAGGCCGAGGCCACCGGTGTGCAGCCTCAAACCATTTTACCATTAGGATCTCTAGTGGAATGTTTGGGTTGTAGCGTGTCATGGTCCCGGCGCAAAGGGCTGCGTGTGACTCATCCCTCTTTGGGAATCCTGCAAACTGGAGTCTCGAGTAGCCATTGCCCAATGGTCCAGGAGGACCAAGCATTGAGGCTGATATCCGAGCTGGAGGAGAATAGACTGGGTAAGTTCCAGGAAGAGATCCAGAATCTTGAGTGCCAGCTTCAAAGCCTTGAGGTTACGCAGGACCCAACTGATGCGATTAGGCAGTTTATCAAGACAGGTGCCCGTAGGGATGCACTGCAGGCTGTTTTCTCTCAACCTTACCTTCAAGGGGCATCGGACCGTCTGAAGGCTTGGATAGCGGAGGGGCTGGAGGGATTGGACGATGCAGCAGGACGCCAAATGATGAAGGCTCTTCCACTGAAGAGGAGTGCGAGGCGAGGACTGCTACGGTCCTACCGGTGGGCAATCCATCTTGGCTCACATCCCACCCGTGCCAGTGATCCAATATCTCTCTGGAGTGATTCAAAGGGGATGCAGTTGTTGCAGGTTGATATTCAGGCGAAGGGTGGAAAGGGATGGGACATGACTAGGCGCAATAGCGTCTGGAGAGTGCTCCTTTGGGCTGCGGCCACCGGGCGGATAGCCCTTATCCTGTCCTCACCGCCTAGACCCTCATCCGAGGGCAAGCAGATGATGCAGTACCAAGACATGTTCTTGTGGTCGGTTGCCTCAATTGCAAGGAACTCTGGGATTCCCTATGTATGCGAGCCGCCTGTACCTGAGGACCCTAGCCGACGGGAGTTTTTGAGATGGTCTGGAATGAGGGCCTTTCGTTTCTCTCAGGGGTCTCTCGGGGGCGGCTACGTGCGTTGGACCCCTTTGATGACCAATTTGGATATGGACCTGCTGTCAACGCTTGAACCAAAGGGCAGCACAGGTTTACCGAGAGAAGGGAGGGGTTGGTCTGTGGAGTTCAGACATGAAATCGTTAAGGCTTTGATGGGTGAGCCGGTTGGCGTGACAACTGATCAACTCCGAGAGCTTGATCAGAAAATCTCCCAGGGTTTAGCGCGGAGTGATTGCCCCAATCTGCCTGTTGAAGATCAGGATGAGGAGGAGCGCTTAAACCGCATGTTTGAGCAGGAAAGTGTGGTTTCATCTTCCGATGAATCCCCCGTCCTAGACGAGGTTGATCAGGAGGCTTGCGCCGTTAAAGGAACTCAGTCCGGAGGAACTCGAGGCCTGGAAGGGTCACGTGATGAGAGGCCATACGCCTTATAGACGAGATTGCCAGAGGTGTGTTGAGGGAGCTGCTCTTCGAGTTCGCCACAATCGTATTCTCCACAAAACCCTGTACTCCCTTAGTGTAGACTTGTTTGGTCCTATGAGCGGACCAGAGCGTGGACAGGATGAGACTTCGGTCTCGGCCAACCCCCATGTAAAATACGGCCTAGTAGGAGCCTTGAGAATTCCCGTATCGGCATTCAGGGATGAGGTTAGGCCAGCCGACAAGCCTGCTCAGGACAAGCTACCTGGGAATCAACCAGGGGAGGAGGAGATTGAGTTGGGTGATTATGAGCCCTCATTTCCCGGTGAGGAAGATGATTTTCTAAGTCGGTTTGATATTTCCGTTGAGGAGCCTCGCCTGGATGATGGTCGACCCTATCGAACAGGGGCCGACGCAGAGGCACCCAACATTGAGGTTGTTCAGGCTGAGGCGCTAGGAGGCTTAGAGGTGAAACCAGCTCCGATATGGGAGGATGAAGCGATCCCTCAAACCAAGGAGGAACTTGAGAAGTATCTGGAGGAGATTGCGACCCCACCTGATCAGGTTGTGCTGCGGTACTTCATTGCACTAAAGTCAAAGAGTGGTTCTGATGTCACAACTGGCATTCAGCAGATGATAATGGAGATAAATAAAATGTTTCCTGTGTGTGTGCTCCACTCGGACCCGGGTACCGAGTTTACCTCGGATGCTCTTAAGAAGTGGCTAGCCCAGAAGTTCATCCGACAGCAGCACCCGCTACCAGCGGATAAACAAGGCAATGGTTTAGCTGAACGGACGATAGGTTGGGTAAAGTCTAGGGCCCGTACCCTACTGGGTTCCTCCCAAGTTCCCGTACGGTTTTGGCCTATGGCAATCCGGTGGGCTACCAACGCCCATAATCGCCAGATCCTCGGAGAGGCACCGTTACCATATTTTGGCCAGGCTGTTATGCATAAACTGAAGCGGCCACCTGGGGGTACCAATGAGTTGATGCATAAGTGGGTTAAGGCCAAGTACCTAGCGCCACACCTATATGTCCCAACAGGTCATGTCCTTCTGACTGAAGACGAGTGCTTGGTTGGGTCGAGAGGGTTTAGACCTGGAACGGTTGACCCAGAGACCTTGCCCGAGTTATTGATGCCTGTGTTGCAGGAGTTGCCAGAGGCACTACCACTTCCACCACCTAGAGATCCACCTCCCGAAGCAATACCGGTTGAGGGCGCCTTAGATAAGGATCCGACCGTCAGACTAAGAAAGAAGTCAGCGGTGAGATTTCTTGAGGCGGCTTCCCCTCAACCAGAGGATCCTGAGTCCGTATCACGGGAGGCATTGTTGGATGATGATTTCTCCGATGAGTCCTTTCGTAGGCTGATGCGAGTCCTGCAGGCCAGCGAACAGTCATCTGGAGATAGACGTGGGGACTTTGAAGGAAGGTTTGTGTTTGGAGCCTACTGTCATGGTGGGAATAGGGGAGTTAATAAGCTGTGCAAGGAACTACCACCCACCACGAGGTATCTCAATCAACTTCTTCGAAGAAGGGTCATCTCCTCTGACTTTGAGACTGGGAAAACGTGGTCCACCGTGATGGTGATGCATGCTGCTGAGGTGGAACAACATAGGGATGTAAGAAATGAATGGGGTTCTAAGAACTATGTCCTCTGTATCCCTGGCACTTTAGAGTTGCACCGCGACTCCAAGGTACCAGGCCATGACCCATCGCCAGATCCGAAACCTCTGGAGGTTGAGGTGATGAACAACCGTGTTATTGAGTTTGATGCAAGACTTCCCCATGCGGTGAAGCGCCAGCCGGATTGGTTTGTAGTTGGTTTTACTCCTCTGGGAACCAGTAAGCTGCAAAAAGAATGCCATGATGAGTTGCGCCGCCTAGGTCTAGGTTTCAGGTACACTGTTACCAACCAGACGGATCCTGCAGTAAGGGCTGTGAGGCCCGATTGTGACCAAGAACAGGGTGCCGATATGGAAGGATCGCCCCAGGAGGACGCGCCAGCAACTCCTTGTGATTTGAATCAGGATATCCAACAGGACTCCTTTACCCCGATCATAGGCTGGGATTTCTCCGGTGGAAACCCAGGGGATTTTCCAGTTGCGAATCTAGAAGAGACGGATTTGCATCAGTTCTTGGTTGAGCGTGGAGTACCATGGCTTTACCGTAGGCTTCGGTTTATGGGTGTTGAAGAGGCCGTGGATCTTCAATTTCTCTTTGAGGAGGATTTGCTCGAGTTTGGGATACCCCAGAGTGAAGCCTCTAGGATTATGGCGGGAGTCCACCCGCAGGGTACCCGCCGCCCTGACAATCCAAACTTGAGTGCTTTGAGATCAGGTGAGGTACAGTTGTTGGACAGAGAACAGCGATTTCTACCGTGGGTGATCCAGAACAGGACGTTACTTTCTGATGGTGAGGGTTTACCTCTTGAGGCTCTAGGGGTTAATGTCGGCAACTACCAGCAAGGATTCAGAAACCGCGATTGGCTTGAGGAGGAGGAACGAAGGCAGCCAGGTTTCCAAGGTGTGCCGAGCTCA